TGACGGATTTCAGAAGGGAGCTCTATCTAGTCGTTTGGGCATTCCTATGATCTATCGCATTGATGCTGTTCATGGACACAATAATGTCTACAATGCTACAATATTTCCACATAATGTTGGGCTTGGAGCTAAAGTTTCAGATTCTATTTGCTTCATTTCAAAACATGATAGGGCATTGTTCTATTTTTACACAAAGGATGAGATCTGTCACCGTCGTTTAAAAGCAGCACTCTGTAACTCTATAACTACAACAAGGTCCCATTAGGGTCAAATCCTTGCAAGTAAATCTCTATTATACTTCAGCAAGTATTAAAATAACTAACCATGCATTTCAAAATCCTTTTAGATGTTTTTCGTTTTATAGTTCATTGAATGTGTCTTCTTTCTATTAAATATTTCCAGTATACAGGGACCCTGAACTGGTACGAAGATTTGGTTCTGCAACTGCTCTTGAAGCCCGAGCTACAGGGATTCCTTATGTATTTGCTCCTTGCATTGCGGTAAATAATACATTACAAAAGGATTTATGCGTTCAGCATTTTCTTCTTTTACATGCTTAACAATGTCCTTTGAGTGCGTTCATATTTTCTCCATCTGATGACTTCTGTGCATTGCCTGGAAGATCCTATATAGGTATGTAGAGATCCAAGATGGGGCCGGTGTTACGAAAGCTACAGCGAAGATCACAAAATTGTGCAAGAAATGACGGAGATTATTCCAGGTTTACAGGGAGATATCCCTGCAAATTCTCAGAAAGGAGCGCCATATGTTAGTGGAAAGTACGAATTTTATGAAAATAAGCATACTTCTATCTTTCCTTTTTTATTTTTCTCTGTTCATTCCATTTTCATTTTTCCTTCTTTTGATTTAAAAGATACAATCCTTTGTATTGTAACTATTGCCCATGATCTCAATTTACTGGATTTTGTGAGTTTAGGGAAGATAATTTGGCTGAAATATAATTTGGATAACACGCGTCGTGTTTTTCTAGTTATGGATTCAATTAATAAATCAAATTAATTTAGTGGTTCTTTTTATCTTTTATTTCCTTAACTAATGTTAAAATACTCAAGCTTTCAGTGATTCCTGATATATATTTATTTATTTATTATATTTTAGTAAAAAGGTTGCAGCTTGTGCAAAGCACTTCGTTGGTGATGGTGGCACGAGCAAGGGCATTAATGAGTACGACACTGTGATTGACCAACAGAAATTGCTTAGCATCCACATGCCTGCCTATTCTGACTCCATCATCAAGGGTGTCTCAACCGTGATGATTTCCTACTTCAGTTGGAATGGGAAAAAGATGCATGCAAACCGTGATCTAATTACGGACTTCCTAAGGGCACCCTTAAATTTAAGGTATCATTTTATTCACTTTTATTTAATATCCAAGCTTGTTGCAGTTTTTCTGGAGTTAACAATCACATGCACAGAAAGATATAAAGTGCAATCATGTCTCATCCATGTACCGAGATTTGATGTAAGCACGAAACTAGCATGCGCAGTGTTAAATCTTACCATGAATTCAAAGAAAGGTTTTTGGCACCAAAACCTTTGCACATTGCAATTATCAGTACTTTTATTTGTGTGGTTTTCTCTTCCTTGGCATCTCATAGCTTAAATTACAGATTTTCAAAATATATGCTCTTAATCGTGACTAGTTGACTGCTTTATAACTGTTCTTTCCCTCAATCTCTTCTTATTCTTCAAATGCTGTCAGCCTTATCTGTTTTTATTGCCTTTCTCAACCTTGTGTATTTCCTACATGTTGGGTTTTAATACCTCCAATATTATCTAATCAAATTCAAATTACTTCCACATTACACATTAATGCGGTCAGGTTTTCTTGGACATTGCTTAGTGATTAGCATGATTCTTCACTTTCCCATGTTACCACTTTTGGTGTCTATAGATGGGTTCGCTGCATTTACATACTTTCTCGTATTTCCCCTCTAACGTCATCTTTATTTCATACAGGCAAACCCCACTTAGTAGGATAAGGCTTAGATGTTGTTGTAGCCATTACAGATTATTGTCTTTGTAGCCATCATAATACATTCAAACAAACTTCTGATGCAGTTTTTGTGCATTTCTCTTGATACAATTGAAGTGCCTAGCATACATCAGTACCGCACCAGTTATATGATTTATCCTGTTTTGCATCAGTTCCCACTTTTTAGCGTCTTTAAGCTTCATCTGTGTTAATGAGTTGAAATTTCAGATTCAATATGAAATTAAGGTATTTGTGATAAGTTGATAACTCAATAATATCACTGATCTCGAGTTCTGGTTGTTATCGGTCTCACAATAGGTGCTTCATTTTGGTGACTGTATTGTACCTTTGTCTGTGTTCTGCACTGTTTCATGCTAACAGCACATGATGTTTTTGGTTGAACATTCAGGGTTTTGTTATATCAGACTGGGAGGGTATTGACAGGATTACCTCGCCTCCACATTCAAACTACACATACTCTGTCCAAGCTTCAGTTCTAGCTGGAATTGACATGGTTCGTGGCTTATTTTATATAAAAACCTCTTACAGAAATGAAAGAAGACAATATCATCTCTTTTACACTATATAAAACTCTTTTTCTATTCTGGTTCGAAATTATAAAACTCTGAAAATGGTTCTCTTTGTTTTGAAGGTCATGGTCCCTATCAACTATAAATAATTCATTAATGATCTCATTAACCTGGTCAAGAATAACGTTGTCCCAATGGATCGTATTGATGATGCTGTGGGAAGGATTCTGCTTGTCAAATTCACCATGGGTCTTTTTGAGAACCCGTTGGCTGATTTCAGCCTAGTCAATGAGCTTGGAAGCCAGGTCAGTTTATCCGAGATAATCAATTATCAGGATTTGCAACCCTCCTATTGGTCATTTGATTGATGTATATAGTTCGATAAAATTAGAATGGACATTCCTTCGAAATTGGTGTTACATTCAATGGCCAAAAGACTGCTTAGTAAGCTTTGTATTTATTGATTTATTGACATGAATCAATCATTTTTGTATTTTAATTTAACATTACCAGGATCATAAAGATTTGGCAAGGGAGGCTGTCAGAAAATCCGTCGTGCTTTTGAAGAATGGGAAAAGCGAGAAAATTATAGATCCAGTCATGCTGATAATCTGGGCTACCAATGTAGTGGATGGACAATTGCATGGTAAGGATTCAGTGGCAACAATTATACAACCGGTATAGTTTGCTTTCATCGTTGTATTAAATACTAATATTCTGTCTATGTGCACTACTTTTGTGCTCTACAATAAAATGATAGAATTGAATATTCACAAAATAGAACATTAAGCACTTAATAAGAAGATTTCATAGGTGCTGGTTAGTTGCAACAAGAAAATCGTCCTCACAGTTATTAGAATGTATGGAAATATATTCCCGTGCGTATAGGATGTTCGTACATAAATGTATCTAATCTTGGCTGTATTTTTCATAAAACTTCCTTTTCATGATTAGGGACTACAATCCTTGGTGCTATAAAATCAGCAGTCGACTCAAGCACAGAAGTTATCTACAGTGAGAATCCTGATGGTAATTTTGTAAAGTCCAACAACTTTGCATATGCCATCGTTGTGGTTGGCGAGCATCCTTATTCTGAGACAGCAGGAGACAGCCCAAACCTAACGATGGCGGAACCTGGCCCAAGTGTCATTAGCAATGTGTGTGAAAGTGTCAAGTGCATTGTTATCATAATCACTGGCAGACCTATTGTAATAGAACCATATGTTTCCTCGATTGGTGCTCTGGTGGCAGCATGGTTGCCGGGCTCTGAAGGCCAAGGCATTACTGATGTCCTTTTTGGGGATCATGGATTCAGTGGAAAGCTTCCAAGAACATGGTTCAAAAATGTCGATCAACTCCCAATGAATGTTGGTGATTCACACTGATCCACTTTTCCCGTTTGGGTTCGGACTGGACACTGAGTCAGTAAAGGAGCTTGTAACAAGGTAACCCTTCATACATGTATATCTATATAGGACCAGCTACGTAGTAGGTATCCTGTTTTCCTGCAAGCTTGTTCATATAACAAAACTTGATGAGAAAAAGAAAGAAATGAAATTTACAAGGGATTTGGGACCGGTGGTGGCTTCTAGGTTTCAATCTATCAATACTACATATTGTTTTAAAGCATTCATGTGTTCCGGTGTAATATAAACCGAAGAACTTGGTTATCTGTATCGATACTGACTTCAGCTTCGTGATTCCTGCAGGTCAACCTCAGCTGGTGTTGTTGCAAGGCCATGCATACTTATCGTCATGGTTGCTCTGGTTCTCGGCTTATAGTTTAGAGGTATAGTTTTGGGTCTAGGATTATTGAGTTCTCGGCTTTTCCGAATTGCGTAGGTTTCTGCTTACACGGTGCCTTTTTCCTCTAAAACTTTCAGGGAGCTTTTACTAATGGTAGATTCCTACAGCAATTGGATTTGTTGACTGACACAGTTTATGGCAGAAGGAAGGGAAAAGCTTTGAGTTGATTAGATTGTGGCGGCTACAAATTCTGGTTAACAAACAAATTATAAGCATTCATTGTCGAGCCATTTTAACGATTACAATTTACATGTAGCAAATTTGAATAATAAATTAAATTGATTTTTGTTTTGAAATTCTTCAGTGAAAAGAATGTTAGGAGGATCACCTTCTATTGGTCTATTATTATTTGTTTTTTTTTTAAGCAATTTTTTGCAATTTTGCCTCAATACTACGTAGTAATGAATTATGTGAAAAATGCATGTTTGAGATAGTTTGGATTTTTATCATAAATGATCCTTGAAAGTGACGTTCATCACCTTAGTCTTTGAAGTTGAAAATTAATCAACGTCGTTCCTAAAATTTACTAGAAACATCGAGGAGCTGATTATCACAACTTTTTTTTGGGTATCACACCCCTTAGTCCCTTCTAATTGCCCAGATCACCGCCCATTGCAGCTCCATGACCCGGAACAAGAGGACGCAAGCTGAGAGAGAATACAAGAAGAAATCGTCACAAATTTCACATGCATCACATGCTTCTCATACTCATGTGTCTTGCACGAGTATATCTAAAACAAAGTCAGCTACTATGACAGTCGGCACAATCATAGCTTATGAGCTAGTTTAATCTCAGCCATCCATTTCCAATTCAAGGCTTAATCACTAACAATACATTACCTGATCGAAGAGAAAGAAAAAGCAACTTTACAACACATACGGATAAGTAAATACTTACCACGTACCAACCGCAGGTGAAGCAAGAAATACCCCAAAAAGCCAAAAACTAAATAAAAGAGCTCTCAGAAGCAGAAACCAACTCAAAACACGAAGGAGTCGCAAACTCTTACCACACAAAATCACCATTTCTTCCCTCTCGCAGGTCCCTTAGTCTTGCTACTATATCAGTGATGATGCGCTAAATACCTCAATCCCCATCACCCCGTGACCCACAGATACAACCCCATATCCCCCCACCTCTCCTTGAGGCTGCCACCGCCTTCTCCTCCTTCTCTTCCTCATGTCTCGACTGCTTGAGATCACTCAAAATTGCCTTAAAAGCCACCGCCTCCTTTTCCCCGTAGCTTAAGTCCACCATATCACTCAAAGGTGCAGTGCTCTGACACTGATCCAAATACCCTTAAGTGCTGAGAAATTATCGTTTTTAAAGAGAGAGATGCTACAGTTCCCTCTACCTCAAGGAACTCCAGACATTGCTGCCTCCTCTTCCAAACGTCAACGTCGCTGCATCATCTCTTCCAAATAGCTTGACTCCTCAGGATCAGTCAAAATGTGATGAAAAATTTGTTGGCAGTCCCACATCGGTGGGTGAAATGAAAACAAATGAGTTTAAATATGATTACCCCTTAGAAACAGGTACCCAGGCATTTTAGGGTAAAACCCAGCCCTAAACGTCAACGTTTGATCTCTTCCAAAGGTCAAAGTCGCTGCCACTTCTCTTCCAAATGTCGCTGCTGCCGCTTCTCTACATAGATGCGCCGCATCTATGCCGCTTCTTCTGCACAGAGTCGCCGCATCTCTTCCGCTTCTTTCACAAAGAGCCGCCGCATCTCTTCTGCTTCTTTAGCAAAGAGCCGCCGCATCTCTTCCACTTCTTTCGCAGAGCGCCGCCACATCTCTACCGCTTCTTCCGATTCTTCCACAGAGTGCCACTCTACCGCTTATTCCGCTTCTTCCACAGAGTGCCACCACATCTTTTTCGCTTCTTTCGCAGAGCGCAGCCGTATCTCTTCCGCTTCTTCCGCAAAGCGCCACCGCATCTCTTCCGCTTCTTTCGCAAAGCGCCGCCGCATCTCTTTCGCTTCTTTCGCAAAGCGCCGCCGCATCTCTTTCGTTATCGCAAAGCGCCGCCGCATCTCTTCCGCTTCTTCCGCATAGCGCCGCCGCATCTCTTCCGCTTCTTTCGCATAGCAGCGCCGCATCTCTTCCGCTTCTTTCGCATAGCAGCGCCGCATCTCTTCCGCTTCTTCCGCATAACGCCGCAGTATCTCTTCCGCTTCTTTCGCATAGCAGCGCTGCATCTCTTCCACTGCCGCCGCTGTCGCAGAGCGCCACCGCATCTCTTTCGCAGAGCGCCTTTCCGCTGCCGCTTCTTCCGCATAACGCCGCATCTTTTCCACATAGCTTGATTCCACAATATCCTGCTGCCTCTCTTCCACATAGCGCCCCTTCCCTTCCACATATCTCTTCCACATAGCTTGACTTCCGCATAGATCCTGCCTCTCTTCCACATGGCGCCACATCCAGGGAAGGCGGGATTCAACATCAGCCACCGCCTCATTTTGCTCAATGTTTGGGACCATGGCATTAATCTTAGGTGCAGTGCTTCGAAACTGAGCCAAACCCCCCAAATTGATGAATTGCTGTTCTGGGCAGTAACCATGTATACCAGTTCCCTTTATGTCAAGGCGCTTCAAATACCATAAATCTTCAGGCAACTTCGAAAGTTTTGAGCACCCATTGAGAGTGAGCCATTCGAGACTTAACAAATTGCAGATACTGTTCGGAAGATAGACCAGGCTTTTGCAGTTTTTCAGATTTAACGACACTAGTCCCTGAAGCCGTTCAATTGATGCAGGAAGCTCTCTGATATATGTGTTATCCAAATCAAGGCTGGCTAATCTTTCCATATTTTCTAATATGTCTGGAAACACCTTAAACTTTGTACAACCGGAAAGAGAGAGATAATTTAGGGACTTGAGCTGACAAATGCTGCTTGTAAGACTCTCAAAGTCTTTGCTATACCGTAGCGTCAAGGTAGCAAGTCCCGTAAGACTATAAATTATGGATGGCAATTCTTCAATTGCAATCCCTGAAAACTTAAAATTTTCTTGGCCGAGAAAAACTTCTGCAACTAAAGTCCAATCTAAATGAAGCTCTGTTAGGTTCTCCGTAACTTTTAGAAACTCGGGTAAATTCCTCAGATTTGAGCAGCCAGAAACATTCAGGGCTTGAAGAGATCTCATATGAATGCTGCCTGGAAGAATCTCTAATCTTCTGCAATCCTTCAGGCTCAGGGTAACGAGTCCCGTAAAATTTTTGATGGACAAGGGCAGTTCTGAAATATCAGTCTCATCTAAATTAAGCTCTAATAGGTTCATAACTTCAGGAATTTCTGAAAAATTATACAGATTGAAGCAGCTGGAAAAATTAAGGGTTCGAAGAGATCTCATATGAATGTTCCTTGGAAGACTATGAAGTTTCTTGCATTGCCTTAGACTCAAAATCTCAAGGTTTTGAAGAGATGAAATTGATGGGGCAAGGCCTTCAACAGATGTCTCATCCAAGCGAAGCTCTCTTAATCTTTCCATATTTCCGACATTTTCTGGAAAGGCCTTGAGCTTTGGACAACCAGAAAGATTAAGAAGTTGCAGGGACTTGAGTTGAACAATGCTGCTTGGAAGAATCTCAAGTTCTCTGCAATATTTAAGATTCAAAGTAACAAGCCCTGTAAGGTTGTTAATCGATCGAGGCACTTCTTTCATTGCAGTCCCTTGCAAATAAAGCTTTGAAAGCTTCTCCATAACTTTGGAAATCTCTGGAAACTTCTCAAGTTTTGAGCAAAAAGAGAGATCAAAGGTTTCAAGAGATTTCATACAAATGCTCCTTGAAAAGGACTTGAGTTCGCCGCACCAACTTAGATCCAAGAGGACAAGTTTTTCAAGGGCAGAAATGGATGGGTGAACCTCATATAAACTTGTGCATCCACCAAGAATTAGCTTCTCAAGATTCTTTGCCTTAGTGAAGTCCGGCGTTTCCTTAAGACGATAAGAGCCTTTTAAATTGATAATTTTCAACTTTCCAAGACGCTGTCAATATACATCAAGGAAAATATGTGTTACATACATAATAAGGCATTTAAAAACTAAACCATTTAAAAGCAGTATATAGGCAAATGATGAACGTACCTCAGTTCCTTTCCAGAGGTGTTCAACCCAACTACATTGCATGTCAATTTCAACAAGATTCTCTGGGTTAAAATTGGACGATAAAGACTTTAGGGGACATTTGTTCCAAAACAGATAACTTAGTTTTTCAGAGAGAAACTTTAGATTCTCGTATTGCCAGTGATCATCGGCCGGCTCGCCCTCTGGTAGTAAACAGTGGGTATGGACTCTGAGTAGTCTTAGTTTTGGCATTTGAGCAAGGGCGATATCTAATTCCACCACATTGTTTGAGTGTGGCCATTGCACAATTATGCTTTCAACTGCTTCCATAGCCTGGATTATCAAAATTGCACTTTGAATGCGTACAAACTTAAGCTTAAAACGCCCAATGCACATGGTTCTCATGAATTGCATTTTGGTCAAAGTTGAAGCTTTACTTTTATTATTAAGGAAAACTAACAAAAAATTCAAAAAAACTTTATTTTAATGAAAAATGACAAATAAAGGTGCAGTGAATAGTACTAGAAAAATGTAAAAATGTGATTTTTTGTTAAAAGTGAACAATACCAAAAGTATTATTATTATTATTATTATTTTAAAATTTACTAATATTACTGGGAGAGAAAAGATTCAATGCAATTACATTAATGGAGTGGACGGGAGAGTATTTCTCACATTTTTTTTATTTAGCACATAATGAACATCTTCACAGCTCCACAATCTGCTGCGCCTTCCAGGCTCCTTTATATATTCCTGGCGTACGATTTGGTGACCCATTTCCTCTATTAAATCATGCATCTCGAGTACACCATCAGATGAGATAGTGACAAGAGCTCTACCAACTAGAACGTCTAATCCGGTATGGGGATGGAAGTCACAACCCTCCATAATCCTTGTTGCCAAGTCTTTCTTCATTTGTTTAAAGAAACATGCAATATCTAGAAATATTGCCTTCTGCAAATCATCTAGTCCATCATAGCTTGTTCTAAGGACTTTTTGGATTCCCGGGTGCGGGTTTCTCGCTATTTTCTTTAACTCATCTTTCCACACAAGTACACTTTTGTCATCGAGAAATGCTCCCAAGACTTTGAGTGCTAAAGGCAAACCTTGAGCATATTTTATGAAATGGCCTGACAGATCAATGTATTCTTCTGTGGGTTGCTTTGTACTCAAAGCATACTGCCTAAACAGCTTGAGAGCATCATCGTCATTTAACAACTCGGGCTCATATATCTGATCACCAAGTCTACTTAGTGACTGTTTATCTCTAGTTGTTATAATGATTCGACTTCCGCCACCAAATGAAGGTTGCTTTCCAATTAAGGCTTCAATTTGGGATGAACTCTCCACATTATCCAGAACAAGTAAAACTTTTTTCTTACCAACTCTTTCCATCATCTTCTGAAAACCATTTCTCAAAATCTCTGAACTCCCCACCTTCATATCTGTGATACTAGATAGAATTTCTGCCTGCATATCTAGTGGCGCTTCACCTGCATCAGTTGAGGGAAAACGTCGCTTCACATTTTCAAGAAAGCAACGACCTTCGAAGTGATGATTGATTTTATCATACACAGCTCTAGCGATGGTGGTTTTGCCTATACCGCCCATACCCCATATTCCAACAAAGCCAACGTTATCGACCTCGGGACATAATAGTGAATCCATTTTCTTTAAGCGGGAATCCATTCCAACCAAGCCATTCTTTTCACTTGATGGGATGTTGATCACTTTCTTAAAAATATCATCTGCAATCAACTCAACAAGCTTGGCATCATCCCTGCGAAATTTGAAAAAACAATTTTGTCAAGTCCTGCGATTGCTAGTTAGATAACACTCATCACACTGTCATTGAAAACACAAAGTAACGACCCAACAATTCTCAGGAGTTTATTCTTCTTTCATTTACTCAATGCACTCTTCTAAGTTCAATCAACGTATAAGAGAACTAGTCACCTATATCCTCTCCAGATGTTTTATAGACCTTTTAATAGCGGCCATATATGTCTCCTCTCTGTTTCTCACACCTGCTCTTTCCTCATCATGAAAGAGGGAGAAAATTAAGAGATTTTGTACAAACGACATCGTCCCATGTGAAAAAGTAAATAAAAACAAGTGAATTCTTCACCGCAAGATCAATATCAAAGGCCCCTAATTTTTTATATTAGTTTCCTCTTCCCTTCTCATGGAAAATATCTAGGTGTGGTGGTGGAAAGTTTTGCAGAGAGTTGGTGAGTATTCAATTTTGTAGAGGGTTGGGAAGGAAGTCTTGGTTCTAGTTGTATTAACATTAATGATAATCACAGGAAATTAGTGACTATAAACGAAATAAGAATTTTCTTCAAAACTAAAACGACCAAAACAGGAAATTAGCTAAACTTCTAAACTACTAAGTGAATAAGATTATGAGGGAATGAGTTACTGGTAATTTTGTGAATCCCAGCCACATAAATCGGGGGCTCTTTGTAAAGCGGACCTCCACCGCTGCACTTCTTCCATGTCGGCGTTAGGATCATGTTCATGTTTAGAAAATGCTTCCTCAAAACTTCCCTTGATTTTACGAACATCAGCTGGGTCTACTTCGTAGAAGATGGGAATCACAATCTGCTTCTTCTGATCCATGCACTGCAGGATTTGGACGAGTTCTTTCAAGCACCATGTGGAAGAAGCGTAGTTTGGAGAAAAAACTACAACCGAAAGCCTCGAGTCGCTTATAGCCGTCAGTAGCTGCGAAAGGCCGTTGCCCTTTCTGAGCTCTTCAGCGTCAATGAAGGTGTTGATTGAGTTCCGAACCAGAGCTTTGTGGAGATGGCCGATGAAGGTCTTGCGAGTGTCTTCGCCTCGAAAATTCAAGAAGACATCGTATTTGCAATCAGGAACAGATGAAGAAGAAGAAGCCATCAACAAGCACAAGATCGACAGCCTAATGTGATTCTCAAGTAGCCCCTTAACAAACTCAAGATTGCTGGTCAACGACCCCCTTCATTGGTTCTCACTAGAAAAATGAGATGCATCTCCAGGGGGGCGCTTGGAAGTTGCCAGGAAAGAAAGGGTCACTTTGGGCAAATAAAGTCCACTAAGCAAGTGGGACGGCACATGTTGGCCGGTAACCCCATCGGGCTGGGCCCCAGTCCCTTCAGCATGTTCCTTTTCCCTTGCTTCTTGGCGCGTTGCCTTCCTTTTAGCGCGTCAAAGAGCGCAACTTTCTGTCTTTCTCAGCGCGTCCATATTTTACTAATCCTTTTAATTTTTATTTAAAATAGTCTCTAAGGTTTTCTAAATTTAAATCGATAGAAGTGATGGTTGAAGTTGTTTACCATCAATCATTTTGGTTATTCTGTGAAAAATCTTGGTTAAATTAAGGGTATTTTTGTTAATTCATTTGAATTGATCATGATGCATATTATTGGTGATCCAAAACTCCTTTATGCGTGCAGCTTCTACTTATGTCATAATCTTTCAGCTTCTACCAATTGTTGTTTTAGATGATTTTTTTTTACTATTTATTTTACTTTGTCCATGGGTGGCTTTTAGGTTCCCCTGCGGTCTTACTTGTTGTGTTATTTCCTCAACAAGTTTTGCTTTTATGTCCCCTTTGTTCGTAAATTTCCTCTTTTAATTTTAATATGATAATGGGATGATTGTTAAGCACTATTACCCCATGCTTTTCACGCATGCACACAAAAAAAAAAAAAATTTAGAGAGTTTCTCATCACAAGCAACATATTTATCAAAATACTCTGAAAAGTTTAGAAAGTTTCTAAGTCACAACTAACATGCCATATAGTCAAAATGCTCAAAATATAGAAAAGAAATATAAAGAAGATATTAAGTTAGAGCATTCCATTGCGCTATGGGATCGCAATTATTTCTCTATCTTGCCTCTAAACCCACCTCCAAACATCGAAGTGAAATGTAAAATGACCAAAACACCCATCAAACCACTTTTCTCACGGCTCAAAGATAAATAAATAAAAATCAAACACACATAGAAATTCAAAATACAAAAATTAAATAATAAATTTTGGAATGGAATATCACAAATATAGATGAACAACTTTTAAATCAGATCAATCTTTTTTGAGAAGACTTGATCAAAAAAAAATTATTTAAACCCAATAATGATAACTCTTCACTCATTAGTTTTTGTATAAACTTTATATTCCAGTTACACCTTAAAACAAATGTGGTCCACATTCTGTGGGTGTGGAGATAAATTACTCAATTATATAAACCAATCAATGGGTTGTAGTAGCGTCATGGGAGTCCCCATTGGTGAATCAGTCACAGGTCTGATGACTCCCTTTTTTGTGTCTTTTTGCTAAATATTTGTGACATGTCTTATGATTTGGTTGAAAAATACCTTTGTTAACTCTTTTACTTGACATTCAAAAATAAATAAAACAAATCCTAATACAATGAAATGCGCGTGCGAGCATATTGTTAAATCTGACGTATATTATTAGGCTATCACTAGAAATTACGCACGCATGTTTATGTGGGAACCAACTGTTTCAGGCGTAATCGAATGAATAAAACACATTTAAATTGAATAAATTCAACACAAAGCTGGCATATAAACACATTGTACAATGAGTGGGAAGAAACTGAAAGTCTTTGATTAGAAAGAGATGGTTTCCAAAAAAGTTCTGTTTCCTTAAGAAACAAAAGAAACATGTAGTTCACACATATAATGTGTCCTAAAAGGCCAAGGAGAATACAATGATTAGTCTTTTGTAAGCAAACCTGATATACAAGGTGTTGATTGAGTTCTGAACCAGAGCTTTGTGGAGATGGCCGATGAAGGTTTTGCGAGTGTCTTCGCCTCGAAAATTCAAGAAGACTTCATATTTCCAATCAGGAACAGATGAAGAAGAAGAAGCCATCAAGAAGCACAAGATCGACAGCCTAATGTCAGTCTCGTGTAGCCCCTTAGACCAGTTCCACCGGAGGTGGAATAGCCCATCACCCAGTCAAAAAACCAGGCTAGCACCCTGTCAATTCACTCCAGCCCGTGTGTTTGCTTGACATCCAGCCCAAGCTGGTCTCCAAACCAGCCCATTTTTGACAGACCTTGGGATGGGCCATTTGTGTTGTTGCGAGTGGCACGTGGCACGTGGCGCATGAGTAGCAAACAACAAAATTGTGGCGGGGCCTAATGGCGTAGGTGCACTAACATCTCCCCCAGGTGGGCGACGTGGCCCAATTTCTGTCGTTGGATTTCCAACGGTAAAAAAAATTTGAATTTCACTTTTAAACTGGACCGTTCGATCACAGATCAACGGTCTACGTTTTTTCCCCCTAAAAAAATTAAGTCAAAAATTAAAAATAAAATAATTAATTTTTATTATTTGATAATAAAAAATAATAATATTTTAATAAAATTGACCAGCCTATTTTTTGTTTTAAGGGTAGAGATGCTTTGGCCTATTACTATTCATTGAGGTCTATTACTGTTCACTTGAGTGGATAAATACTCTGAGTGCTAGAGTAAAGTATTTAGGGTGGAACTGCTCTTAACAAACCTAAGATTGCTGGGCAATGACCCTCTTCATCGGTTCTCACTAGAAAAATGAGATGCATCTTCGGCCGCCGGGAAGAGGGCTGGTGGCGCTTGGAAGTTCCCAGGAAATAAAAGGTTGCTTTGGCTAAATAAAGTCCACTAATCTAGCAAGTGGGATTGCACATGGTGGCCAACAACTCCATCAGGCTGGGCCCCAGTCCTCTCAACAAATCCCTTTTTCCCTTGCTTTTTGGTGCGTTGCTTCCTTTTAGCGCGTTAAAGTGTACAGATTTCTCTCTTTCTCAGCGCGTCCACACGCAGAGTGGGTCATAATTTTTAACCCAACCCGGTTTCTTGTGTTAAATTTGTCGGTCAAAAATCAGTTTTACCAAGGTTCTAAAGGATGTTAGGCGCTAATCGGGTGGCGAGCTAGGGCCTAGCGCATAGGCGGACTAGGCGGATTTAACTAAATCCATTATATTTCATGTAAATAAGTGTATGTTTATACTTAAAATATATATAATTTCATCATAAACTACAAAATAAAATGACACGTATATTATGAAGTATTGGTGTAACATCCCACATCGTCCAGAGGAGTGATCCTTATATGTATATTCTCATCCCTACTTAGCACGAGGCCTTTTGGGAGCTCACTGGCTTCGAGTTCTGTAGGAACTCTGAAGTTAAGCGAGAAGGAGGCCAGCGCAATCCCATGATGGATGACCCACTGAGAAGTTGCTCGTGAGTTCCCAAAAACAAAACCGTGAAGGAATGGTAAGCCCAAAGCAGACAATATCGTGCTACGGTGGTGGAGCGGGCCCGAGAAGTGATCCGCCCCGGGTGGGGATGTGACATTGGTATCAGAGCCTAACCCTGGCCGCGTGTGTGCCGACGAGGACATCCGGCCCTTAAGGGGGGTGGATTGTAACATCCCACATCGCCTAGGAGAGTGATCCTTATATGTATATTCTCATCCCTACCTAGCACGAGGCCTTTTAGGAGCTCACTGGCTTCGGGTTCCGTAGGAACTCCAAAGTTAAGTGAGAAGGAGGCCAGAGCAATCCCATGATGGGTGACCCACTGGGAAGTTGCTCGTGAGTTCCCAAAAACAAAACTGTGAGGGAATGGTAAGCCCAAAGCGGACAATATCGTGCTACGGTGGTGAAGCGGGCTCGGGAAGTGATCCACCCCGGGCGGGGATGTGACAATTGGAACATAATGTAAACATGGGGAACAAAAATTTAAGTATTCGACAAGTCTCTTACAATTTATTGAAAAAAAAAATAAAAGGCAAAATGAAAGTTATCTATTTTCTGCCTAAGTGAGTTGATGCCTAGGTGGGTCTGGTTGGGTGCCTCAGTAGGTCTATGGGCCCTTTCTTAATTTTCAAACGCCTAAGCATTAATCGAGGCGGTGACCAGCTATCTAGCGCATAGACGGCGCTAGGCGGAGATTTTTAGAACAGTGGTTTTACCCAAGAGTCGGAGCAAATTGGAAGGAATTTAAAATTTAAATTTTAGGTTTAATTAGAAAGTTTGGCCTGCGCTACTGCGGGGTTAGAAATTGTGTGAATTGTGTTTTACAGGTATAAACACATCAACTTATATCACATCTAATTGAATCAAGCAACCTCTAAACATGAGAAATGGATCTTAGAAAGTATAAACCTACCTCATAATATTAATACAATTAACAAATTCTCAGTGCATGATCACAAAAAAGGTAAAGAAAAGTAATTCAATTTCTAAAATTAAAAAATTGGAAAGATAAAAAATGGGTCTAAGTTCTCAATTCTCACCATAATGAAAATTATGATATCATTTTAACATGAACTCGGGTTTTATTTCGGTCACCAGCATTATAAAGCTAGCGACTTCAACCTGTGCAAGCAAACAACTGAATGAGACCCAAGCCTAACTTTGATTTAGCCAAATCAAAAAAGCAATTACGATCAAACTAACCACTCTTATTCCCATATGTAGAAGCTATCCCTTGTTTTGCCTTTGTGAACAGTGCAGTTTTCACTCTCTACACACAAAATGAACAACTCAAAATGATCAGCAACATTAAAAAACTTAATAAATTATATGTATACATTACTATATATGTATTTGGACATAAAGTACACAAATTTACTAACAGATTAAAAAAATAAGTAATTATGAATTGGAATTAAATGATATTATAGTTGTTAGAGAAATACCTGACCAATTTTTACAAATAGCATCATAAATTGTTTAAAAAATAACTGCACTGAAATATCTAATTACTCAAGTCTATAATTCTATTAAAACACGTCACCGAAAACGCCAAGGAGAGAGGTGCATATTCCTAACCTTGCACGGTTAAATTTGCATTTTGTTTGAGGGGAGAAAAATGATCAAAACTGATAAGTCAATAGTTAAATAGGTTTACTGTGGTGTCAAATATTTTTTAATACATACATAATGCTGTCTATTTAAATCAACATTGATTCTTGCATACCTTCGGTTATATAATGTTTGGAGTTGAATGTATATATACCCAAATGGGAATAATTTTTTATCCGAATCTTAGAACAAACCAACTCATCCGAGAACGCAATGGAACTTCGCTGCAACTCCAATTTAATCAATGTAAATTATTATACTGAAACAATGTGATCAAACTTAATCAAAACTCCAAATCCACCAAAAGTTTAAATTTCTTACCTTGAGTACAGAGGGCTTTAGAAAACGACGGCATTCTAGCCTGGAAATAAAATCCCCAAAATCAAAAAAATGAAATTTGCACAGAATTCATAGTTGTAAACACAAAATTACCCACCCCAAATCGGCTAGAGAACTTCCCCTCTAAACTCAAACAAAATCAACTCCAAACTTAATTAAATGTGTTTTCTTTCCCAAAACTTGTCTCAATCTGCAACATCATGACCAAATCAAAACCCCTAAATGCAATTGATCACAAACTGGATCAGTGCTCTGTCTCTCAGACACAACGAAAGCATAACCATATTGCCCAATAATATATAAAGTTCGCTAAACTAATAGGATTTCAAAATTTTGAGACAAAGAGATTAATACCTTAGTCAATATCAGAAATGTTCGTAGCTGAAACACAGAAATGATGAGCCTAAAAATCATAACCTAAACAAATGATAAGATAACCATAATCTCACACAATAACATTATACAAAAATTTAACCACAAAAATAGAAAATGGACAGATTCGTAAAGGAAAGCAGCAGCAGAGCAACTAATGGACTCTCTCAAAAGATAATATTGTCAAATTTGTAAGATTAAGCATGCAAGAGCGACTGCTGGCTTGCGGAGCGGAAGTTGTTAATCGACACATTATTTTGTCCCAAGTTAAGCAACCAAAGGTTTGTTTAGGCACAATCGTAATCAAACCAAGCTTAAATATTTTTAAATATAACGGAAGAATTTTTTTTTTTTTAAACCAAGATAAAAATCTGAAAAAAAAAACCTCACAAAATGCAAGGTTCTCCAAAAAATTAAAAACTCACAAACCAAAAACTTAAAATAAAAAAATTAAAAACAAAATCAAATTTCTTTCTCCAGAGGTTCTGACAAAGAAACCTCTTTACCTGCACAAAAAATAAAAAATTAAAAACCCACAAACCAAAAACTTAAAAAATAAAAAGAAAATCAAATTTCTTTCTCCAAAGATTATGACAAAGAAACTTGAAGAGGTCTCCGATGGGTTTCCAAGGGAGAGGTCGAAATGGAGGAGATGTTGTCCAACGGATGGGGAGGAGGAAGGAAGGAAGAACAGCATATCATATCTATTTTTTCAGAAAAATATCTGCACAAATTTTGACTGGTTCGTCTTTCTTAGCAAGCAAGTGAGAGAGAGAGAGAGAGAGAGAGAGAGAGAGAGAGAGAGAGAGAGAGAGAGAGAGAGAACCCAAGATCAGTGAGCCAGAAAACGTGAGGATTGAGAGGAAGAAAAGCGTTTATGAGACATGGATCGAAAAGGATGGAAGGCTCCAGAAGACCAACGCGTCGACATCGTATGGAAGCAGATGGACGCGTGGCCAGCATGGGCAAAACTGAGAATTCACTATAGAGAAGCCAAAACAAAAGGCAGTCAGAGTAGCATTGCAAGGACATTTTCGCCATTTTACTGTTATAGAATAGTGCCTAATGACCAGCACGTGTGAAAATAAAAACCCATTCGATAGCTATCCACTGCGACTACAGAATCCCATTGCCGATGACCACTGCAACCACACAACCTATCGCCGCCGACCACTGCAACCACACCAATGACACCACCCCATCGCCGTCGATGCTGCTCCTCACGGCGGCAAAGCTTTCTTTCCGTTCCCTTCTCTCTTTTCAAATTCCCGTACTCTCGTCAATACGTGTGAAGTTTAAAGTTTGAAAATTGGGATATCTAATCGGTCGGTATGTGATCGATCCGTCCCTTCACAGCCATCAAACAATGTGTGAAGTTTGAAATTTGAGAATATCACATCGATCGATTGGGGGAGGATGCTGAAGGGTTAGGGTTGGTGGCTGCGGTGACAGATTGAGAATATCTAATCTAATCGATCCATCTCGTGGCCGAAATGCATGGTGGAGAGGTTGGGTATGGTGGCTGCGGTGATAGATTGGGGGAGGATGTTGAAGGGTTTCTTAGGATGCTAAAAGGTTTCATCAGCTATGGTGCCTTTAATTTTACAGTTTAGTAAAAGTTAACAGAGTTATGTTAGAGTTAAGTGGTAATACAAGTGTCAAATAAACAAAGGAGTCGACATGAAAGGGACACCATTTTCAGGACAACATACCCGGAGCCACCTTTTATGGGTGTGGAGATAAATTATTCAAATATATAAACTAATAAATGGGTTGGTGTAGCGTCATGGGAGCCATCATTGGTGACTTGGTCGTAGGACTGATGCCTCCTTTTTTTTTGTCTCTGTTGTGTCTTTTTACTAATATTTTTTCACATGTTCTATGACTTAGTTGAAAAATAACTTTGTTAACTCTTTTACTTGACATTCAAAAATAAATAATACAACTCTTAATCCGATAAAATGCGCATATTCGAGTGTATTGTTAAATTTGAGGTATCTTCTTCTTAGACTATCATGTCTCAAACGCTAACAAAACCCAACTATTTGAATTTCTATCCTCGTAATTTGCAATAAAAGCACCATTGATCTCATATCTTTTTTCTTATGCTTTCTCAAAGCCCATTTATCTTCACTTTTTTTTTCCTACCCCTATACAATGATTGAAAAAAAAATAAAATAAAAAATAAAAAATAAAATAAAATAAAAAACCTCTCTTCTGCTACTTGTCCCGAAACACAAATCCACTACTTGCTTTTATGGTTTTAAATCCGAATAAATAAGCAAAAAAACGTGGTTTCTCTCTCTCTTTGAACTCCAAGTCCTAAATCCAAAGCAACGCCCTTCCTCTAGTTTCAAGTTTTAGTTGCTGCCCCTTGCTCTTGGTCGAGGTAGGTTGACAAGCCCCAACCTCAGTATCTCCAAATAATAGGATAGGCACGTGTTGGCCGACACCTGAGAGTGACGAAACTATTTTAACATGCATGCAAGTTACAACGAAAGGACTAACATAAATAAAATATGTAATTTAGGAATATAATGAAGTATGCAATTGCAGGAACGTGTTCAGAGCATACAACTAATCAAGAGAAGTACGAAGGAATATTTTAAAATAAATGAGATTACCAAGAAAGTGGGTCCTACACTAAGAAGACTTGAAGATACCTAAGCGGAAGTGCCCTGATGTTAGGATTGTATGCCTCGATTCTAACTTTCAAAGGGGGCGCAAAACTAAAAGGGTGAGTGGACCAAAGTTTATAATAATAATAATAATAATAATAATAAAAACCATTTTCTTTATGACCATACTAACCCCCTATTTTGAAAACATATATGTAGTACTACATAGTAGGTTTTCTGAAAACTCTAACATGCCATGAAAACATTCGTAAAACAAGTACGTAAAATCCAGTGCTCATTAATGGAAATATCGCTACCTGAATCCAAATCCATAAATCTCATCGATGATGTACTCACTAGGGGTATCATAGTGGCTGAAAGGCATAACCATCACCAAAGGTGAAGCTGTACGACATCAGGTTATGGCAATGAAGAAATCATAGTCCATCACTTGAAGGTGAAGCTATACGACTCTGGGTTACACCAAAGAAGAAACATATACATATAACATCACACATTGACATTAGCCTCAGGCTAGTGAAGCTGGGAGTATGTCATAAATATCCTTAATTGTGTCATATGGCCATAGACGTCTACATACTTGGTTGTGTTTATGTGTTGTATGATAACCCCTTAGATAAGCACCGAAAACATATCTCAAAAATCTCATATCAATCTGGGGCTCAAAGGCTTAAATCCTCATTTCATAAATCCATGATAATTCATATTCATAAACCATAAATAAATCATATCTGTAAATCCGTGGCATTTCATATACAAAAATCCAATAATTCATAACCTTTCGTAAAACGTAAATTCGATAAATCATAAATAATCATGCTTTTCGTGAATGCAAGCCTAATATTTTATAAAAACATGCAAGTTAAGAAGGTGTCCACTCACAGATATTTCATTGCCTGGAATCCGCTCGGACTAGCAAGGATGGTGTTACTTCCCACCGACACACCTAAGCATAAATAGAAGCCATTTAATAAAACTCTACTAAAACGGTCGAATTTGGGAAAACGGACAGTGAATTCAGATTCGGCACGTTGAAAAACCTAAGGTAAGACCTCGGGTTCCCTTACGCATCGAAAAACCTAAAGATAACTTGAGGCATAAATGACATAGTCCAGGAGCCTTACTGGAGGTTTTCTTGCACGAGAAGGATTTCTTCGTACACCTTGGGTTGATTGTGATGGTTGTCTATTGTGAACTTGATCTTCAGATTCATGCTCAATGTTGCCTTGTGAGATGACCTGCGAATTTGAAGAATGCGTGACTTGGCTTACTTACTTATGACCATGAGTGTTATGCACTGCTGGAGCATCATCATCATGCTTTGTGCACATAGGTAATGGAAACAAATCCTGTAAAGACTCCCCCTCACAAGAAGCATGCCTTCTTGGTTGAAAGAAAATGGTGTCTTCATCAAAGAAGACATCTCTGGAGACAATACATTTGTTGGAGCGAGGATTGAAGCATTTATATCCCTTATGTGTAGGTGAATCCCTACAAACACACATTTTTCAGACCTAGCATCCAATTCTTCACAATGTTGATGTTGTATATGAACAAAACATGAGCAACCACACTTTCAAGTGAGACAACTTGATAAGTCTCTTTTCAAGAGTTTCATAAGGAGATTTAAACCCTAGGACCCATCTTAGGAGTCGGTTGATGATGTATGTAGCTGTTAAAATTGCATAGGACCAAAACTTCTTTGAAACATTCATATGTAACATTAGTGCACAAGTTTTTTCAAGTAGGTCCCGGTTCTTTTGCTCAGTAATCCCATTTTGTTGTGGGGTACCTACACAGCTGGTTTGATGTACAATTCCTTGTGAACTCAAGTATTCAACCATGTCGTTGGATAAAAACTCAGTACCATTATCTAATCTCAGTGTTTTAATAGTTGAATGGAGTTGATTTGACACAAATGTATGAAAGTCTTGAAAGATAGTTGGAACTTCACTTTTAGCCTTCATGAGATAAAGAAAAGTGACACGAGTGTAATCATCCATAAAAATGACAAAATATTTGTAACCTTCCATTGATTCAATAGTAGAACCCCATACATCGGTGTGAACAAGTTCAAAAGATATTCTAGACCTAGACATTGAGGTTCCAAATGGTAACCTAGCAAAAATTGAGAAATGACAAGTATCACACTTAATCAATGGGCGACAAAACTTTGGAAATAGTTTTGACAAAACAACTTCGGATGGGTGGGCTAGCCTTTGGTGCCAAACTTGTTGATCCTTGGAAGGGCTTGGTTGAACTTGAAGGGCTGTTGATAAAGAGGGCTTCGTGCAAAAATAATAAAGGCCATTTTGATAGAATCTTTCACCAATCTTCCTCTTGGTGAAAGCATCATAAAGGGAATTACATTTGTGTGGCTAGGCAATTTAGAGTGTTAGTGAATTGTCCTACTGACATCAATTGAAATGGAAAAGATGGTACTTATAAGGCCGTAGACTCTATGGTGTTTGAGACTAAACCTAGTTTTCCCTTTCCCATAACTGAGACATTTTTTTTCCATTTGCAACTGACACATGAGATGGTTTTGATAAGGCTTGGAATCATGTTGGTTTGAAGCTTTATTTGTCATGTGATCAGAGGCACCCGAGTCAATTATCCAACAATCATGATTAATACTAGTTTGTATTGCAGTTGAGAATCTTTGAAGATACCTGGAGCTATATCATGTGGAACATGATCATGATCAGCTAGAAATCCTACAAACTGTCCAAGAAGTGCAGTGTGATTGTTCCCTTCACCCTTTGATGTTTGTGCAGTTTCTCCATGGTTTTTAGTTTGCAAGTAGGCTGCAAACTCGTTGATAAGAGTCACAGGGTTGATTGTGAAGTACACCAAGCCATGAGTGAGAGAGCTGGCAACATTGTTGGCAACACGTTGAGCTTTGAAATGAACCACTGATGGAGATTTTGGAGCCATCATCCAGTTGTCTTTGAACTTGGGCTTAAGTTCAGGATGTAACTCCCAACACCTCTCTTCTGTGTGACTAGTAACATTGCAGTACTTACACTTAAGATGTGGATTATTTCCCTTTTGTACCTCGGAATCATGGCTCCTGTGGTTTGCAACATATCCTCGAGTCTTTGATAGCTTGAGCTTAGACTCTATATTCATCACCCTCCTTGCTTCTTCACGCTGTATCGTAGCACAAACAGTCTTGAATGGTGGTAGCTCCGCACTCATTAATATGTAACTCCTCAGATCCTTATATTCTGAGCTGAGACTTGCAAGCAGTTGATAGATCTTATCCTTCTCAGCTCTTTTGAGAAGAATAGTAGAGTCCGTGGTATGGGGAAGGTATACATCCAGCTCATTCCCTATAGTCATTAAACTACCAAGATGTTGAA